CAGTGCCCGCTTTTAACACGGTGGGTATTGGGAACATTAAAGTTGACTATTAAAAATTCCTGGGTCCCGTTCGCATTGACAAATCAAGTCAATGCTTTAAGACATGCAAATGCTGATGGAAAACTTTGCGAACTTAACGCTAAATGGTACGCAGGGGCCGGAGGAAATAATAATAAATGTAATTTCGAAATTTTCCGTTTGGCAATTGTGTCTGGCATAAGAAAATGAGGAAAGTAACCTCATTCTGGTCTTTGTCTGACTGGATTCACCCCCCTGGCAATCTTGTCCAGCTGCAATATCTGCTTGGGGGAAACTTTGAGGGGAGCAGACAAAGTAAAAAGTTTTCTTGTTTTTCCTTCCTTTTATTCTGCACTGTTTTGTTCTGAAGTCTCTTTTCTTTATTCTGTGTTAATTCAGCTACTGTATTCTTACTTACTTGCTTCTATTTTTGGCCATTCATATACATAACTCTTGGATTGGCAGGGTTCATACGAAAAAAGTTAAGAAGAAGTTCATTTCCGTGTGTGACCAGAAACACGCACCAGGCGGCTCTCGTTTCGATTTCCGGTTCCGTTTTCGGAACTGACTGACTTGTGCCGCCGTTTGCGTGTTGAATGCGGCACGCACTCCGGCACACATCAATTCCACAGGACCCCGCCACGCCCTCTGGTCTCATTAATAATTTATTTTCGATGGGTTGGGTTCTCCCATATTCGATTGAGTTAGGGAATTGCTTATAATCAAAACGAAATTGCAACACTGAGAAAAGGATTATGTAAAGTATTTTTTTTAAGCTTTTTATAGACTTTAAAAAATGTTTTATTAGGAATATTATTCTCTTTTAATAGTTAGCATAAAATTATACGGAGTTTTAAACGAATCCTCAAACATCCCAGCTTAGCATTTTAAATGAAATAACCTGATCAAAATTTCTCTGCTGAAATTAGTTACGACGCAATAAATAAATATAAAAAATGTAAACTTTTTGAATTTTTGGAATATCAAACCCCTTTTGTTCGTCAATATCAATTTCAATAACCCACTTGGCCCGCATACTCGTACAGTGCTCACGATAAATATTTGTTTATTTTCTGGCTCACGCAATCAAACAACCTTTCAACGAAACTCGATTGGCTTATTGGATTCATCGGAAACCATAGACACAAAGGAAAAATTTCATTACAATTTCAACCACAATGCTGGCATGGATTTATGGAAAATATAGATGCATCTGGTATCTGGTCTCTATTCTGAGATGTATAAAAAGGTCACGGAAGTCATAGCCACACACATATATATCAATTGGTCAATGGGCAACAAAGCCCTCCTATAATGCGCCATTAAGTGAGGCTTGAAGAGGTTAATCACATGGAAATGCTGAAGATTAGAAATTATGACATTAATTTTTCACCAGTCCAGGGTACAGGGGATAGGGGATAGGGGATAGAGGACCATTTCTCATTGGGCAAACAAAAGTCAGTTAAGCACAAAATATGGCCAACATTCAAACAGCTGATAAACTTGAAATCTACACACGAACGAGCAAAGCCAGATGAGGGTTTTGCTGCCCGAAGGGGGGATGGGGTTCTTGGGGAATAAAAAGCCCAATGGACTTTTGCCTGGAAAAGCGGCAAATCATGCTTAATGTGGCATTTGTATGTTTATTTTTTTATTTTTATACATTTTCCTTCTACGCTTTTCCTCGCCGAGAACAAGCCTTGGACTTAAAAGAAAACGCTGAAGGACACAGCAACAACAATAAGGCCATAAAAAATGCAGCAAATAAAATAAAATGAGACGAGATGAGACGAAATGGGATGGGGTGGTGAAAGAGCCAAAATGAAGAGCAAGGCCAGGAGCAATGGGGATGGCAAGGAGCAAATAAAAACCACAGAGGCGAGAAAGGACTTCACTAAGCAGCAGCCCAAAAAGAGAGCAAAGCTAAGATGATATAAATTTTATTGTCATGTCCAAGTAGATTAAACTAGCTGCATATCCGTCCGAGTCCAGAGTCCCGAATTCCGGCTCCCAGAATCCCGTAAACGGAGCTCAAAAGTAGACTACAAAAAAGGCACAGGAGATTTATGCGCTTATGTGTGTGTGTGCCAGTATGTTTTTGTGTGTGTGGTGAGGATAATAAAAGTGTATTTTTCATTTTTACGAAGCAAATTCATACATATTCGGACATTAAGTGGGGCTCGTGTTGGCAACAAAAAGAGCTAAACAATCTTTCATTCTTTTGACATTCAGCCTTGAAATAAAAACACCTGGAAGGATTTGCCTATTTTCAAGGTAATAACTCGAATAGGCATAGAACTCAGAGCAATCTTATATCCCCACACCATAACAGAAAAGAATAAAAAGTATTGATGCAAAATTAAAAGTAATTATATTTTAAATTATTTTTGCGTAGGACTAGATATGGATTTTAGATAGTAGACCTTCTTAGGTTACCCACTGAATCTAGCTTTTTTCTTGCCCATTTCCCAACGCTGATAATAAACGATTTTAAAATCCAGACCTTAATGGTATCACTTTTCTTTTGCAGATAGCAACTCACTTCGACATGAGCAGACACAAATAAATAATGATTTATGCATCTAGGTGCTCTTCTGACAGTTGGGAAACCCATGGCAAGAACGCGGGCCTCAGCTCATTAAGTTAAACTGTCAAAAATTTACATATTCTTGGGCGCTTTTTCTTTCCTTTTTGCTTTCTAAACGATTTATTATGAAATGCTCAAGGACTCGGATTGGTTGAGGTTGTTATCCCCTGTAAATATGTCCTTATCTTTCTTTGCTTTGCTGTGTGCAGAAAGTTTTTCCGTTTCTGTGTTTCAGGGACTGCTTATCCAATTATCAAAACCAGACATTTAATTTTCCCTTTTACGTGGTCTCGTGCCCTCAACAAATTGCTCGTTCAATTAGCTGCCCTTGAGGATGAACATTGCACTCGAAGAACGTACACAATTTCCAATTCAATTTAGGACCGCGTCTCAAGTTTCGGGCCCAAACAATTTATCATAATTTTGCAAAGAAAATAAATGAGAAAAAATGGAAAACTCTTGCAACTCAGCAAAGTTGGCACGCCTTCATCGCCAGAGACCCTTTTGCCATCTGCTGTCGAAGACAAATTGCAGGTAAAATGTAAATTCTTTCATACTTGAGCGAATCTTTGTTTATTCTATAGGTATTTACTTTTGTTCATTTTTCATGCCGAGACAAGGCGACATTTTCCCTATCAGCTAGTCGCAGAAAAAGTGAAACGTTGCTATAACAACACAAATTCATCTAATTGGACTCCCCTAATTCAGGAGTCTGTGCGGGGTCAAATGGTTCGAAGAAATCTTAAAAGAATTTTGTGAGTAAAAAAGCGACCAGAAGAAAACAATAAGGAATGAAAGGTCATGAAAATCTTTCGAGACTTCCAAACAGTTAATCAGACGAAATTATAAAAGACAAGTCAAGAAGTACTGTTGTATTTGATTATGCTAAATACACAAGCTCTTGAATTACATCACAATTACAAATGTCAAAAAGCCATGGAAATATAATCTGAATTTTATTAAGAAGCGAAGGGGGAGACAGAGCAAATACATTAAGTATACGCCTTGGTAAACTGTAAGTTAATTGAAAGCCCGCGGCGAAATCAAGGCAACTGTCTTCTCGAATGATGGACGACTGTCTTGCTGAGGAACTGTTTGACTGGCTGACAGACTGAAAGGCAGTCGCTCTGCGGCTGAAACTCCAGTATATTAAATTTAGCTCTTAACGCGCTGATAGACAATCAAATTTGCTTCGATTCGCAGTGCACTTCTTCTTCGACTCCTCGGCTGACAGGTGCCGCGTCGTTTGGGCTGCCGGGGTTGCCTCTGTCTCAGTTAGCTGGGATAACCGACTGCCGCTGATGGCTCCCATTAAGCCCCAGTTACACGTTCGGATTCCCCACGGCCAATGCTCCTTTGGGTTTTAATTAAAATGTAATTTACTACCATGTCGAACGGCGGCGTCTACGTTTGAGTTTGCTGCCATTGCATTTCCTAGTGGCCAACTGAAACTGACTGGCAGTCAGACATCCAACTGGATCGATAAGCAATGGGAACTACATTTGTATGGAATATTATGTTTCAACGATTTTCAAATGTTAAATTTATACGGCAAATGAAAAATATCTTGCTTTTGAGCCACAGCTTGCTTAGAGATTATTCAAGAATGGGAATAGAATTTTTGAAATGGAAACGGTGGAATAGAAAAGTTGCAGTTTACTCCTTTTTGGTGTATAAAAACCGTTTTCAGTTTATTTTCCAAAATAATTATTGTGTTAAGTTAAAATGGATATGTTAAGCAAAGTACGTACACTTATATGTTAATTACGTCTGGAGAGCATTTATTATCGAAATGAAAACAATTTATAAGATGTTCTTCTATAAGCCAATTCAAACACTCGAACTCTCTCACAGCTCAAAAAGCAAATCAGCTGCAGACAAATGTGGCAAATCGTTTTGGATTTTCTCCAGACAGGGCCAGACATACTTTTAGGCATAAATTTGGCCACTTTGCATTCGGGACCTTGGGCCTTCTTTTCAGCTTAGCGCGTTTTTTTCCTATGTGAATTTGAAAAATGCTCAAACATTTGTCCATTTGCGTGCAGCAAGGGCACCAAGAAAAAAGCAAAATAAAAACCCATGCGAAAAAATCAAAAAAAAAAAAGGAGAAGAGATTTTAAAACTTTTCCAAGGCTGACCCTTTTCTGGCGTTGGCCTTAGGGATTAACGGAGGGAAGAAAAATTGAAGCGAGTCTCCCCAACCAGTCGACTGCCAATTTATTCAAATGCCTTGCAAAGTGCTAAATAAACAAGACTCAGTCCCCCGGCATGGTCATGTCATTTTTCTTGGTTTTAGCCGGGTGCAAAAAAAGAAAAAAATAAAAAAATAAAGCAAAAATTATAGCACACTTATTTGGTGTTAGCCAGAAAGGTCCCCTTTCGCCCCCGCACTTACCTTGTATGGGCACATAAATATTTAGATAGAGGCAGTCCTCTGATTGATTCTGTAGATAGGGCAGCAATCGCTTCAGATACTCCAGTCTGCCCTTGGGCATACGCTCCAGGGCCGCCGTCTCGTTGTGGATGTCCGGCAATCTTTGCGGGCAAACCGGGCTGAATCTGGAAAATCGAAAAAGATTTTGAGTGCCTAGCTTGTCAAAGGAGCAACTTTCTCTCTTATGGCATTCTGCCTGTTGTCTAAAAAGGTTTCGGGCTCACTCTGCGAAAAAAGTTTTTCTTTAAATAGGCTTATTTTTATGCCCGGCCTCGAATGTCGTTATAAATAGATTAATTTACCGAAATTGTGTAATCTTTCAGGGGGTTTTAAGCAGGGGGTTGGTAATGATTTGAGAAGAGGCCGAGTCAACGTCAACTTTGTGATTGTCTTTTGGCCATAACAACTTTTTGATTTGAACGCAAAGTTTGCGTTTTAATTTGTTTTCTGCTTGCTTTTTTTTAGGTTCTCCTTCCTTTTTTTTTGCATTTTCCTCCTTTTGGCCGAGGCTTATTTTCGATCCTGGTAAATTGGTTTTCGATTTGGCTCTTATCGTTCGATTTTCCCCATTGGCAGATCTGCCTCTGTATGTGTGCACTTGTGCAATTTACTGATTTTCCCCTATCCTTTTCTATTCCCGCATTCGGGCTATGCAAATGCCAGGAGCGTTCTCTTTTTGGCCTTGCACTCATTTATGAATCTGATGGGGCTCAGTGTACACAGAAAGAAATTGATAATTTTGTGTACCAAAATGTTGTATTTTGCGTATAAATTATGTGTTTAGGAGTAGTAAAATGGAATCTTTGATAGATTGAACATGATTTTAGAGACTTCACAAAATGAATTTTATCAAAGTTTTATATCTTGCTAAAGACACCTTCTTAGAGGATTATAAAAAACTATTACCATTTGCTAGCTCTATGAATAAAATTCATATTAAAATTATGCAAGTTTGTTAATGCATTTCTGAATAAAATAACAATTAAATACTGGTTTGGTCATTCAAGTAATTGTAATAATTTAACAAGAGTAAAGTACTGAAAAAATGCTAATAATCTTAAAATGCCTTTTTAAGCCTGAAATTTCAGTGTTAGTTCCTTTTCAGTGTAAAATGGTTTCGATTCTGCCAGCTGCTTTGAGCTGGCATTGTTATTATTTGTTTTTAATCTGATCTATGTGTGGGCAAGTGACACACATACACCCAAGTTGACCCCACCTGCTTTCTGAAATTTCCCGAGTAAGAGGTGCTCCCTAGGTAAAATTGCGTTTAAATTTCATGATGGCAGTGGTAGATTTGTGCCAATATGGGCTTTGTGACAGAATTGGCAAGCCAACGAAAGGCTATCTGTGGCCACTACTGAATTAGGGCCAAAGCGATTTGCCTGAGAAGAGCCCTCAATTCTATTCGTCAAGGATTTTTGGCCATTAGAACTGCTCCTAATTTACACTTGAGTCCTGGGCAATGTTAAAGTAGACGGCTTAACTCATTAACAGCCTCAACTCCTGTTGGCCATCAAAATGTCATAAAGCGAAAATCAATAGGAGCATTTAAGAGGCAAAATCCCTCCCATACCACCCACATTGGTTGGCCATTATGAGGCTTCCTCTTACCAGTCATCCCAAAATGCATTAACATTAATGACATTGCGAAACGAGAATTTATTTTATTTAATTTCCTTAACTTTATTTCGCTTTTGCCCTTTTATCTTTGTTATTACCGCCAACGCAGTACCGCGGCTGCTTTTTGTTTACCATGGCAATGGCGATGGCGTCGGCGAGTATATTTAATTTTTGGTTTTTATGGCATTCCAAACGCCTCGCAGAAAATTGGGGAATCTACTTGGAACTGACTCTCAGTGGGTCGCCAGTTTAATGGACGCTTGTGGTGGCCATGCGATTGCCATAATAATCATTAATTTTATGGCAAAACAATAAGGCAGGTAATAAAAGTTTCATTTTCGGGCTTCATTCTCCTTCTGCCCTTTATTTTTTTAATGTAGCGGACATGGTGTCAACCTCGGAACCCTGCAGCCACAGTATACCGAACAGGAGGAGCTGGACCAGTAGCTGAAGCAGCTTGGATGAGCAGAAAATATTAAAAATAATGAAAGTGAAAAGTTTTTACGCCAACACTGGCGTAGTTGTAGTGGTTGTCCGGGCAGGTAAGGAAAAGCCCGCCCCGCACTACCCAGTTCGAGGTCATAAAAGCCACATTTTGCCTTTTTAATGTTGCCCCCATGGCAAACGAATGGCGCACACTTCTCAAGTGGCAAGCGATCTTGTTTATGCCACTTTGCAACCGCTGAACTTTCCCAGATAAGAACGGGTGGTGTTGGTGCAGGTAGTAGGTAGCAGTCAGCAGCTATATCTACAGCTTCGAGGGAGTGGTTGAGCTAATAAAGCGGGTGCCGCAATTAAGGTCAGGGTGAATTCTTCTCGCCATCGATGCTGAATTTGCAAATGGCCGGGCATTAAAAACTTGATAATTACTTGTAGATTTTATACTCAGCCATAAGAGGTAATAATCATGTTTCCCCGTGGAGCAATTCACTTTACAGCTATCGTATGCTTTACTATTGCCTTTTTACTTTGATGGTACGTGATAAAGGTAGGAAAAATACATCTCAATTGTTGATTCGAGTTAAAGAGAGTTGTCTAAAAACAAATACCGAACTTTGCTGTGGATTGATACTTTTCTCTTTTAGTAAATCTACAAGCTTATTCATATGAACAATTTTGCATATTTACACACTGAGTACTGAAAATATATATATTAATACCCATTTATTAAAATTGCATTTATGTTGTTATATGGCAAAGTTTTGACCCTCAAAATATTTGTAGAAAATTATTAAGGGATGTAAGCAATAAACTTGCATAAAAATTATTCGGTTTTGAGCTTTCACTTAAATATGAATGTTATTGGGAGAGCATAGCCCATCAGAAAAGTTTGGTCAAATATTTTTAGGTAGGAAACTGCCTTAAACCATTTCCTTGTAAGTTTTCCAAGGACTTCGCATTTCCCTGCCTGAACATTCAGGGCATATTTGCCTCCTGACTAATAACTGATATCGGATTGCATATCTCAAACATCGCCAGCTTTCAACGCAGATTATTTGCCACAAACAGATATCTGCGAAATTCGAGCAAACAATTTGAAGATGGTGACCCTGACCAGTGAGAAACTGCTTGGCAGCCAGAGCACGCGGTCAGAAGTAAACAAGGTTATAGCCATGGTACCTCCATCTCCTCCTCCTCTTTGTCCTCTCATATTCCGGAATACATGCAATTTGGAATTCACAAACAAAACATAAAGCAAAGCTGGCCCAAAATGCTCGAGTTTTGTGTACATTTGAGTGGAAGGCCGGGCTAATCTGCATGCAGGGGAAAGAGATTCTGGAGAGAGCAGACAAAGCTTCAAGGGTCACGGTTCTGGGGATTTCGTGGAGCGCTTTTACGACGGAGGAGTACAAACGCTTTGTGGTAAATAAATGGTAGCCAGGACAGCAGCCCAGCCAGAGATCCGCTGGCGTTTTCGGCTTAAATACATCAAACAAAAGCATAATCTTAGCCAAGCAGAAAAATACACGCATATACACTGGGAAAAAAATGGTATTGAAATCCGGTACCTTATCCATATTTTCTTTCCAAAGAAAGTTAGATTTGACTTTATATTTCTTGGAAGCTGTAAGTAGAATTTTTTAAACTTTTCAATACCTTTGATACAGGAACATACTTTCTCCCAGTGCACATTTAAATGATAGAGGGAAGGTGATGAACGAAGGGCACCGGATCGCATAAAATTATACGCGACATTGCGGCCACGTCAAGTAAAATAGATTAATTTTACCTGTGGCCAACGGGCCAGAAGGTTGTCGTCCTCATCCTGATTTTTCCATCCCTCCGACCGTTCACACAAATTAGATTGGCAGGCGACACAGACACACAGGACTCGCAACTCACACCTTCCTCTGAAAATCTCCTTCGGGCGTAAAGCTTTCTTACCGCAGTCAAATTAAATAAAATCCAATTTAAAATGAATTTTCGCAATTTCATTTAAAACGGGCAACAGTTTGTAGGGCCGTCGCAGAGTCAGTCAGCAATTTATGCGGCTGATGTCCTCGAGATGTCTTCTCCCTCCTCCTCAACCTGCTGTTGCTGCTCCTGTTCCCTTAACCCTCCCTTAACCACCTTGCGGTTACCACTTGCTCTTGAGCCTCAAATTGGAATTAACGTTTTTAATGACGTAGCCAGCTTCTGTTTGACAGAGCGAAAGAGATGCCTCTCAAACTGCTGCACGCACATTCTGAAGGTCCTTTTACCCCTGCCTACCTACAAAACAACCACCCCCATCTGCCCACCATTCATTAATGCGCTTTTTTATTAGGAAAATCGTTAACTTGAGTTTCCCCACTTAGCGTTTTGCGCCGAGCTTTTACTTTCGTCTTTATTAAAAACTTTGGCGTCATGCATAAAACTCGTCAGTTTATTGCGATTTTTACACTTCGTTTATGAGCCAGAACCTGGGATACGGGGATCCGGGTAGCCGGGTAGCGGGGTAGCGGGGTAGCGGGGTACCAGGAACCTGGTCAGGAGAGGTTGGCCACTAATCCGCTTGTTTTTCATAATCCTTACGCCACAGGCAACGGCCAGGACCAATGTGCAGCCGTTGGAACAACAGCACCAAAGTGCAAAGTGGCTGCTGGAATTTATTTCATTTTTATTAAAGACGCTGGGGCCGGAAAATGCGTGGATGGGGGTGAAAGAGAGGGAGTGGGCGTAGGGTGGTTGGGTTGGTGGTGACACGCGTGGCTTGTCAAAGCCATGAACAGCTGCTGCTGCCTTTGGCGGGCTAGGAATATGTGTGGACATAATTTCCTCTTTATTTTTTTCCTCCAGTTTTTGTGGTTGAGAGAAATTATTTTTGCAATGGGCCCGATGAAAGTTGAGGGGTAACTTGTGGTGGAAAAGTATGTTGCCCCCGTAAAGTTCGGTTTTTGTTGAGTGGGAATTCAGGGTAAACTTTAGTTCAAAGGGCAGAATGTGAACTGGATACATGTGGTGAGCACAGGTAAAATAGATGCATCAGTTTATACATAAATCACAGAGATCTTTGTGGTGTTTTGATCAATTTAAATAAATAAATGGATAAGCGAAGTATACTTTTTCTTCACGTTCAAATTGTAACCTTACCTTAATCAGTTAACTAAAGAAACCACAACCCAACCTTAAGTCAAACCACAAAACATTCCAAACATTTTAGCGACCACAAACCTGAGCTGTATCCATTTCCCGTGCAAAATCAGGCTAATGACCTATTGTGCCAACTGTCCATGGACAAGTTTATTACGCTGACGTGCTGAAAAATCTTACGACCATTACTCAAGCCGTTTTATTGGCTCCGTTTTTCGACTGACCCCCGCTGTCAACAAGACGGCCTGACAAATAAAGCCGCTCACCTCTCCGCCGGAAAAGGCGGAGGGTGATGCGGCAGAAGGCGGCTTGAATTACCCAAAAATTGGCGGGGAAATGCGAGAATGCGAGAATCATCAGTCTGTTGGAAGGCCGCAGGTGCTGTTCTTTGTTAAACTTGAAAAATTATATTTTATTTGCCGGGCTCCGCTGTGCGCTGTACTGATTTCGCGGCCCTTTTCCATTTGGGAAAAAGGGGAAAAACTTTTGCTGCGTCGCGGCCCCATTTCGCTTCCCTTTTTCATTCTTTTTTTTTTTGTATTATAACAATGGTAAACAAGGGAACCAGGAATATCTCTGGGCATCTTTGTGAATAATGATTTGCCACTTGGGAGCATTTGTAAATTAGATGCCGCTGTGTAGCGCAGTTTGCTGCCGGCGACAGCGTAAATATTTAATTTGCAAGATATTCCGTGCGGAAGCCCGGCGACTAAGTTGACCTTTGACTTGTATTTCCCTCGCTTTTTTATTCCTTATTTTGCAGAAGCCATTATCATTATGCCCATTGTTGTTGCGGCTTGGGCAAGGGTTGTAGGATTTTCCATTATTTTTATTACTTTCAGTTACACTCGGCTCTCGACATTTTCGGACCGCCGCCTGCGCACTTGACTCAATAATGAGTCAGTTAATTGAGGTGACAATTGTTGGGCACTCTCGAGAGATTCGGTATTCGCGGCCCTCGACTTATGGCATTTTGATCATTTTATGCACTCGAAAGGCAAATCAAATTCAACCCTTCTACGAAATGATTTAGTGCTTTTAGATGGACAAAGCTTTTTGTCAAAAGGTGAAACTTGGAAGACTTCTTAGGAAATTTATTTTTATTAAATTACTTGGACGAGGGTTCGTGTTTCGCCTGATGGGATTGAAGGGACAAATTTGCTGGAATTTTAAGAATGTTTTGAGTTTTGTCATTTAATGTGGGCAGTTTGCGTTTTGGTTTTGGACCTATTGAGCGACACTTCATTAAATTTATTTCCTTAACTACAGAAATGTTTGCATTTTGGGTATTATTCCTCCTTCATTGCAAAAAATATTATTTTTGGCTGTCTTGTTATTGATTAGCAATCTTTTCGAATCTACTATTTAAATTATTTAAATTTCTAAAATATTTTTAAAAGAATCGAATCGACTAGGAGTTTTCTGTATGTTTACATTTCGGAGCCATTTTAAGAATTACTTTTTAAAATTAAAGGAAGCAATTTGAGCTAATCCCATTATATGACGCCTATTACACCCGCATTAAAACATAGTGGTCTGACTTACCTGTCCGCCTTCTTGACACCTGACCACATGGCCGCCGAGACGGGCGGCATGAATCGCAAATTGCCGACCGGCGGCGAGGCATAGGGGATTCCCCGATACGCCTCAACCGGATCCAAGTGGCGGCCATCTAATTGGACAATTACGCCCGATATGGCGCCATTGCGTGTGTTGATAATCCGCGACGATAGCTGGGCGGGTAATTGATCATGAATCGGGTTGGAGTTCGAGTTCGAGTTGCTTTGGTTGCTGGTGGGTCTTCCACTGCGGTTGCCACTGTTACTCGTAGTGGATGATGAGGAGGTTGAGCTGCTAGAAGAAGATGAGGAGCCCGCTGATGAAGATGAAGTGAGGGATAATGAGGGCACGGAACTGGAAGTGGCGCTGCTGGAACCGATCAGCACGAGTCCGCCATTATTCGACGATGTTGGACCCTTTTGGGATGTGCTCAGGTTACCGCTGTTGCTACTATAGCTAATCCCAGCTGCCATACATCTCTCTATATATATATCCAGAACCACCAAAATCAGCAGACAAGACCATGACCACGACCACGCCCACCCCTCACTCGTCCTCCTCCTTGTGGGCGGCACTTTCCGCCGGGTTCTCGTTGCTGACGATGGCGGGAGTTGTCGCTTCGAGTGCAGCAACATAACCATTATTATTATTGGTCAAAATGGCCACGTCGCAATGTTGTCGTTGTTTTTTCGATAACTTGATGTCCAACTGTTGGTTTTTTGTCCTTTTTTGTCCTCTCTGCTCTTGTATAATTGACCACAAGATAGCTGTTTGTGGCGTGGCCTGCTTTCGCTTTGCTTATTTCGGCAAGGATTTTCACTTTTTATATCCTTATTTTATATACTTTTTGTATTTTAATTTTACAACAGCGATACGTTTTGTTGGTTGTATATTTGGTTCAAAAAAATATGGCAGTTTACGTGAGCTGGAACGGAAAAAAAGTAATTGATTTAATTAAATATTTGTGGGGGGTAATTAAAAGATGTGCACTTTATGCTTGAAAGTTTATAAAAAATAGGTTTGGGGACGATAGAAACTTCATGGAATTGAAATTATTTTTACCTCACGATATGTAAATCAAGGTAAAGGTCAACTTCTGAAGAGCACAAATAGTTCTTTATTGCCTTTAAGTAAAATATAAGCCAAAATTTGATATTCTTTAGATTCCTTGAAACTGTAACTGATTAAACTATAGTCTAAATTCTACAAAGACTCCCGCATTCTTCATTTGGGCTCTTCTGCTCTCTTCAAGGCAATTCCACTGAGTGTGTGCCTTGAAGCATTTCATTCGGTCCTCGTTGGCGTTTTTGTAGTCTGCCTGGAGGCATTTCCCCCGAAAAAGAAAGGACGATGGCAAAAGGATGGGCTTTGGGTAAAAAATCCTCCGTCCACTCGTTGCCTTTTGCCTCTTCCCTCATCTTGTTTTTTGGTATGTTTGCCAGCTGAAGCATCACCTTGTTTGCACTCGGTGTAGTGTCCTTGCCCTTGTTGTAGTCCACAACAACGAAGGGGTTTTGTGGGAGTGGGAGTGGCAGTGGCTATGGGCTTGGTTGGGTGGCCAGGACATTTGGCATTTTGCATATGCCAGACATGTCAGTCTAGCAGGCAGCCAGGCAGGGCCGAGGCTCCTGACAACACGAGGAGAATGCCTACGTGGAATGACTAGGATGTGGGGAAAGGCAAGGACCAAGCTGGAGCCATTTCATTGCCTGACTGGTGACATTGGGTCATTGGATCAACAATTCGAAGAAGCTAGACAAAGGATGTGAGCAGCCCGATAAGCAGATTTTGATATAAGGCTCATTTATGGATCTGTTTTGAGGTACTTCAAGTTGAATGAAGAAATAGGTGAAAAATTTAAATTGATTAAAGAAGTTAAATGAATTTGCAAACTCTTTTCCGGAACAAATGGATAAGACCTTAATTAATAATAGTTTCAAATTCAACTTTGATGCTAAAATTGAACTGAACCTGCGGTTCAGAGGTTTATCAACTACTAGGTTGTTTCTCTCTACAGCTTTTGTCTTGAGTAAGGTGTCTGACGGTATTATAAGCCCAAGAAGCAGCCGTACTGTTGGTCCTTACTGCGCCACCCCTACGTAACACTTTTTTTTTGGTTAAAGGTATTTTTATTCAGCTCGCACTTACTTATTCCGTGCGTTGGCTCTTCTGCTGTCTGCGGCTCGAGTGCAGGTGCTAAGCCCTTCCGTCGTGCATGTGCGTAGGATGTTGGATGTGGGATGTCCTTGCTGCTGCTGCTGCTATTGCTCTTGCTCCTCCCTCCTACTCGCGCTCCTTGTTGAGAATCACTTCACGTACTGCTCGCTCAGCCGCGTCGTCTGCTGCTGCTGCTACTGCGTTTTCTGAATGCTGGCACGCTACAATTGTCATGCAAGCGGACATTCTCCACGGAGACGTTCACGTACTCAGCGACGAGGAGGCTTCCAAGGAGGTAAAGGAGATCCTGGCCGACGGCTGCTGGGTCTCAAGTTGTTGTCTTTCCATGCCGGTTAATGCTGGAATCGGATCAGAAAGGGAAAGCACACTTCATTAGGACTTTTATTCTTCATAAGGCACTTGAACTATGCTTAATAATTAACCCAACACGCGCTATTTGCTTATTTATAGGAAAAAACAGTGTGTCTAAGATAGGGAAAGTGGCTATATCTTCGATTGAAAAATGAATCAGTTTTATAAAGTTACCAGAATATATATAAAATAGTTATTCCTTTGAAATTTCTCTTATAGCCCATGCCTGCTTTTTCTCCTTTTTCTCAAATAGTCAATGACTATTAATTAATGATATTAGCAAACCAAATATAAACTTAGTTTATCCCCCATGGCTCGAGCGCCCCTTTTGCAGGGTAATAATTGAATCAGTGACTCGGAGCTGGTGGAAAATTTTAATTATACGATGCCCTCAAGTGTAAGTAAATTATTATGCAGATCATTAGCAAAGTAATTAGACTCGGCAGCCGCTTCGGCCATAATCCTCGGCTCACTAGTTGAATTAATTGTATTCCGGGAAATTGAGTTATTCCCACATTCCATCAAAGCATACCGCCGGCGTTCGTTGGATTGCTGGTGCTATTCATTTATTATGCGAATTTCGACTACATTTCCCGCATATAATTTCCCCCAGGCAAAGACTGTCACGTCGAGTCACATAAGTAAACAGAGGCCAGACCAGAAGGGATTTTAGAGTGCGAGTTCCTTAGTTTACCCAGCAAATAACATCATCAAGTTGTCCGCAGGAGTAGTAGTGACTTAACTTAACATCCACCCACTCCCTGGTAAACATTGTAAATCATACGCACTGTTGCCCAGATGCTTTGTTTTATTTTGCCATTGCGAATGGGTTGAGAGCCCGTCACGCTGCGATGGAATTCTCAAGTTAAAGAGTGTGACAAATATATACATGATATTCGTTTATTCGTAGACCAACAGCCGGTGTCCGGTTTTAGCTTAATAACTTCCTGACTTTTTTGTGGAAATTTTCAAAAAGCAGTCTGCTTAAGGTTCTCCTCAAAACGCACTCAAAGATTCCAAGTACACAATAATGCCGCCTTATTACATGACAGGAAAAACATCTTTAACTTTGCCGTTTCTCCCTCAAAAATTCTTGGCGAACTTTTAGACTGAAAACAAAAAGTTGTCAGAAGTTCAAATTTGTACACAACTTATAATATATATGTAGGCGCAAGTATTTGAAATGACTTTATTCACATTTGTAATTTGTATCTCGGCTCTCGAAGAGATAATTGGATTCGAGAGTGTTTTCATGTTGTTTGCCTAATTTAATTGCAAATAAACGAAACGGAATTCCAGTTTGTGAAATACTTTTGCTTTAATTAAAAATCAAAACGCGATAAGCGATGCCAGGGAATTGCCATGGAAAACGTTTTATCATGGTAGGTCGGGGAATTATATCTTCGGAAAATGGAAGAAGTAGTCTCTTGACTTTGCAACTGGCCGCAATTTCCGCCTGGCCGCAACTTTTTCTGAGCTTTTTGCGCCATAAATTCAGCGCCAGCTAGACGGAGCATCCGCATTCGCATCCGCAGAATCAGCCTCAGTTATTTTACCCGGTCCGAGGGTCATTAATTTGTCTTTTGAGGAGATGGCGGCGCGGGTGGACGAAAGGGCATTTTGGACGAGGAGCAGTCGTTGCCGGCAAGGCATTAAACTGCTTAAGTAGCACAACTAAATTAAGAATTGTGGGCCAAGCAATTAGAAACAGGGCGGCTGGAGGCTTGGCAGACAATGAGCAATAAAGTTCAAAGTTAGGTCAATCCTTAGGTGTAATGGATATTTGTTTGCTCCGATTTTTCCAGCCATAATCTGTCTTCTCTAAGGGTACTCAAGGCACACACGCAAGCTTAATAAAAAGCAAAGAGCACACAAAGCGATAATTTTACAAATTAATTCTATATAGAATGTTATATCGTAGAGAATAAATAGGGTCTGCCCTATATATAAATATGTACCAGTACTCTTGGGACATGATGTCTTAAAACTATCATAACAAAATAAATCTGATTTTTATATTTTCTCACTGTGTGATAAGCTAAACGTAAGTTCAAATCGTTGAAAGACGCCAACGATGCGTATGCTTTATATTCAATGTTCCCATTCCTCTGACCGTATGTGGAAAAAAATTGCTCCTTTATAGTATATCGATTGGTACGTTCGCAGACATGTATTTCCGGAAATTTAATCAGTTTTGGTGCTTAACCGAGTTGTGGAAGGCAAACGAAATCGGAGGAGTCCTCACAAATATATATAAAAAGAAACACAAATCCAAAGGCAACTCAAAGGAAAAAGCCAAGGAATGTTAGGGCAGCGGAGAAAATGGCAGGAAGATGGGAAGGAAAATTGTTTAGCAGTTGTCTGACTGGAAATGGAAATGAAAATGTTTCTGACTTACTTGCCTTGGCATTGTTATTTGAGTTTATTGAAATGACTGTCTTGCCTTCCCTTGCTTAAGTGGGTATGAAAATACCCATGTAACGGCAGGAAAAACGGAGATGAGATAGTTCACGATGGAAATAGTTTCATATATACTATACTATCACTAAGAATCGACTTTCTCATACTATTTTTTATAATTATCTCAGGAAATGCTTCGAACCACAAACAGTAAACTAACAGTTTTCAGCACATGACTTCAGGGAAAACTATTGTTTTTGCATAAAGCTTTTTTTGATAAAAACAAAGAAGACCATGAAAAAAAGGAAGGACAGATACTCTGGCCAACTCAAACTGTAATTTTTCATGCAAATTTATGCAAAAATGTGAGAAATTCGCTTCAAGAAAATATGAGCGAAAAATGCAATCTGCAAAAGAGTTAAAACCAAAAGGGAACTTGAAAAAAAGGAAAAGAATTAAGTGGGATGGAGAAGTTTCCCAGAGATGGGAAATAATGCGACTTTTTAACTACGTTTTAGTTTAGCCAAATGCATTTTGCATGTCAGAGTTCGTCTCCTGATAATAATATTCGAGAAGAACTCTCTGACTTTTTATCTGCGTCTCTTCATTGCCTTAATGGGCTGCCTCCTTTTTGCTGCGTTTTAGGGTTTCATTATGTTGGCTATCCGACCAACAAAGGCTTATCATTTTTTGCTCGGCCACGTCCTTTATTTATGTATACGAGTACACAACTTCTCGCCTCTTCGACTCGGGTCCGCCCTCTGCCATTTTTCCAGCAAAAAAAATGGCTAAAACAATGGCTTTGCACAACAACGAAGCCAGAAATTAAACTGACTTTCATCAGGAGGAGCGCAACTGACAAGTCAACGAGAAGAAAATAAAGAAGCTTCTCTAGCGAGTGGTGGCGGGAATAAAAAACACTTGGCGGAAATTATAATCCGTCTGCATTTTAAAAATAAAATATAACGGGGTAAAAAAGTTGCTAGCTTGAGGCTTAAAGCAGCTCAAAAGTGTATTTAAAATTAGCATAAATGCCTACATATATAAAAAATTAAATATGCAAAATGGAAGAAGATTGCATTAACTGCAAATGGAAAATTGTAGTTATCCTTATGGAAATAGAGTGCTCGTTGATCTTTCATATCCATTTTTAACTTAAAGCTACTTAAAATTAAATGAATTATTTATTTGTTTGAATAGTCGACATTTATGATGACGCGGATCAGTAAAAATAATGTAAAAATTCCAGACTAAGGCTTGAAAATTTTCACTCCAATGAAAAGGAAAAAGTCAATCAGAAAATGTTTAAATTATGCAAAGTTGTTCGACGCTCGGAATCCTTCGAATGAGATACACATGCATTTATCCTTGGGCCAAACATTAGCTAAAGCAATAAATTGTTCGCACAATTGGGCCCGGCGAATGCATGGAAAATTAATTTCCCTCTGATTTTACAATTCTCTTCCCAAGCATGGCATAAATTCAGCGCTCGCGGCAAACAAATTTTCGAAAGTAAATTATTATATTATTTAGAAATAAATTATCGTTTAATATTGGCAAATAATACGATACCATGGGATTCCATTTTCTGTCTTCCCAAATCATTCTTGTGTTTTTCGGCCTCGCCAGAAATTCGCAAATTGAATTCGTTATTCGGCGTCGCATGAAATAATTTCGCCTTGGGGGGTCACCAACGGCAAATGACGATATAATGATATTAAAGCAACATTACGCCATTACGTAGCAACACACATGCAAAAATAATTGACGACAATGACGTAGGCGACACACATTGCCAAACGAAGACATTGCGCATACGCCCCGTAAGCCAAACCAGACTAAATAATGAGGCTAGAGGGCAAAGGCAGACAGAGTCAGACAAAGTCAAGGAGTGGAGAAAGCAGGAAGCCAGAACTGGGTTTTATGCCATCAAGGGTTAGACGTTGTCCTAACCTGTAAAATAACATTATTTTACTGGTGTATCTTGATAAAATATATTCAAAGATAATTTAACAAACTACTTATGCTTTATGTTGTCAGTTGTGTTTTCTTTGGAATTATATCTTTTTGATCTGTTTTATAGTCTTATGAAAGGTGTATACAAGGTCCAGTAACTAGCCATTCTTATATTTTGATCATTTATACAATATTTTGCATAGTTATGTGGCGTTTCCGCTTCTTTTTTAACAGGAGTTCAAAATTACTTAGTTTATATCTTTCATGAATTGATATAATGATATATAGAACTGAAAAAACTGATTCTTTTTAGTGTCTAAATACGTTGAAAATATAATTGGAATGTCTTTTCTATTATTTCTATAATTTTTTTTTGTTTTTATTTTTTGAGAAATTTGAAAAGATCTAAAAATTGATTTTTTTTTAACTTCGATGGTATTATAGCGAATATTCCGTTGCAATCGCAATCTCTGACCCACATTTTCGAATAATTTATTTGTAGCTCTTATCATCCTGCCAGTCCATCACACTTAAGGCGACAATTTCGAATGAAAATCAATTTGCACCGCACACGCCAAAGGACACGAGTCCTAAATATTCATCCCGGCTGAGCGCGTTAGTCTTAATTAAT